TTTAGAATTCCACTCGCATACTCGTACATTCAATGTACTGATGCTATTTGGCCTGTATCTTCTTATGATGCAGACACAGGTAATCAGGATCAACATCCAGTGCATCGTTGATCCAATTGAGCACTCAGAGTCTTGTGGTGAGCCTCCTTGTTTTCCGGAGGATCCCTTTTATTGCTTTCAGTTTTATTATTAGTTCATTAGGATGTCGTGGGTCTTGTCCCAACACCCATCTTAGTTGTTTTAGAGGCTTCATAGACAGTTAAATGTTAGCTCTTTAGTCCTTTCATTGTCATTATCTTATGTTGAGACTTGAGTTTGCCTTAATGACCAGTTGAATATTCATTTATAACATTCCAGTTTATTACATAGATTTATGTTTGTTGAGTTAAGTCTTCCGCTGAGTAAGTAAATCAGATCAAGGGTTCACTTGGGGCCAACAATGGTTCTTGAGTGCCAGTCCCGCCCAAGGTGTAGGCTCGGAGCGTGACAATAAGTTTTATGCTATTTTTTTGTAATGTAAGTTAGATAATTGTATATTTCTAAAAGTTTTCCTACATTATCTGCGGGGACATAGATTTTATCTCATTTAAAACTTATTAAGAATAAACGGCTTATTGTTTTCATTTGAATTAGTAATTGATTCTCAACTAATTATTTTTAATTTAAAGTTACAGAAATATGTCACAAAAAAATCAAATGTGGGAGATAATATTATTCCTACGGTTAAAAAGCAATAATTTTATAATTACTCATTTAGTTGCATAATCTCGTTTTATAGCTAGATGGAAAAAATATAGAGCAACTTTCGCATATAGCAAACATAAAAATCATATTTGTATGTTATAGTTATAGTTTGCATAATTGCGCTCCATAACAAATTTTATGTTTGCTATGGAGCTTTTAATTTGTATAATTGGCTACAAACATCCAGTTTTATACAAATTGTTCAGTTTTGTATAAATTCATTTATACATTGTAATTTATATAATAAGATCTGTATTTGTATAATTATAAGTGTATAAGATGAAAATATATGTATTTGTATTTGTATATACACTTTTCTCTCGTTTTATACAAACACAAACGCATTTTATACCGAAATGTATAAAATGGCTACTTGTATACCGAAAATGGCTAATTATATATCGAATCAGATGGCAAAAAAGGGGATGTTTGCTGCGAATTAGAATTAAAATAAACTACGGCAATAACATTTAATTTAAATTAATAGTTTTCTATTTCAAACAATTTTCCCAAAAATATACTTGATAATAATTGATACTAATAGATTCCTAAATTCGTGGAAGTTGTTGAGATTTTCATGGAGATTGATTTTCCAAATTAAAATCTTAACTATAGTTAAAATATTTATTAATTTAATTAAATCTAAGCCTTTAAAATTTAAAATAAGACAAATATCAATTATTTAATTGTGCTTTGAATTTTTTTTTGAAGAGAATCTATAATGGAGGGAGCCTGATCCAATCTTTGCTTACTCAAATTATGTAAATTATTTGTGATTATGTAGAAAAATATCATTAAATGCTGATTTTTTTTAAAGCAGTGAAACACTCTTTAAGATATTAGAGCTGATCTATTTATTTTAACTAAATGAAGTAAATAATTCAAACTAAAACATGGCCATATTTATCGCGTTTTATTTTACTTGTCATATTTTGTTTTGCATATTCTTTAAGGAAAATATTAACTAAAAGATAATTTGATTAAATTATCCTTACTTATTCCTCCTCTCTATTTAATACTTCTTTCTTTTGCACCATATTAATCTCTTCGTGTTTATAATTAAGAATAAAAGATAACAAACGATTAATTATGTCTTCATTTTTTAATATGACAAATACTATGAATCATCTATTTTTAGTAAGAACAGTAAAGGAAATGGAGTAGAGAGAATATTATTTTATTTTAATTAGTTGGTTACATAAAGTTTCAACTCATTTCCGAGGTAGTTAATTCTACAATTTTCTTTTATATAACTTTTATACGTGTTTAAATTAAAACCATAAATTACGTTGCTAAGTTTATTCCAAATTATGACTCAACCCACTTATTTCCTAATTGTGTTTAAATATGTAATTCAGGATGACATAAATACTTCCTTTGTTATTTTTATTTTGATTTGTCACTTTTAACATGTTATTTTTTTAAAATTTTACCCTCATCATTAAATCTTCAAATCACTTCTCAAGATTTAAAACTATACATCAATTAATATGAATATTGTGATAAAATATTCAGATTAGTCATTATTTTTTTAAAAACGTGTAAAATCTAAAGTGAACAAATAAAAATAAACGGAGTAAGAACTAAGCAAATAAACTAACATCAAAGTGGCAAAATTGAAAATATATTTCTTCTTTTACCACACACATTTAATAGCATATTATAGATGTTGAAAGTCAACCCCCAAAGGAAAATCAATAGGCATTTCTTGGTTATGTTAGAGAAAAAAGTTATTTTTATAAGACCAAATCAAATCAAATTTGTAATAAATGAAAGCCAACGACTTTATGACTCATTTAATGTTCAAAATATTCGATGGAGATTTCATCCCAAATTGGTGTTTTTTATTATGTTATACCAAACTATCTTAGTGTTAAAAATGAAATTTGCACAAGTAATTCATATTAAAATATTTCAAACACAACGTATAATTTGAAACAAGTAAAATAATTTATCATTAGAAAATGTTATACGTTAATAGCAACAATTTAGGGACATGACACCTAACCTAGCTTAGGAATGAGACCCAATCCTGACTCAAGACACCTCCAATCTTGGCTCGGGGCCCGATCCTCGACCTTGAGAATCTAAGAAAGGAGAAGAAGTACCCGACCCTGACTAGGAACCTCAACCCTAGACTTGAGATCCAAATACTGACCTGAGATTCATGACTCGACTCAAGATTCGACTCAGGTCGAGCCCAAGACTAGAGCCCCGGTCTTCAGCCTTGACCTAGACATGAGACCTGAGACCTGAGATCCAACCTCAATTAAGACCTGACGTTGACTCAAAACCTGAAAAGTGAGACTCAATCCTAACCTAAGCCCTAAGCCCTAAGCCTCGAGAATCAGCTCTGACCAGCCTCGACTTGAGACTCGATCTTCATATGAGTTTTGACACTCAATCATGACCCGATCCTAACTCGAGACCCAAAATTGGAAATCCACCTTCGAGTCGAAATCCAAACTTGACTCAAAACTCGACCTTCGAAACCTAACCCCAATTCGAGACTCAATTCTAACCCAAAATTTGAGACCTTTTTCATGGGACCGAGCCCCGACCCAAAATGAATTTCAAGTAGTAAATTCAAATAAAGTAATTCTTAAAAATGGATTAGAACTGGAATAAATTGGAGATCACTTAAAAATGAATTATATCGAGTTGGGGTAAAATCTGCCAGTGTGAAATTATTTTGTGTCCAACCCACAAGATTGTGGGTGAATTGAGAGGACCATTAAATTTTGGGTCATATTTGACTCTCATAGTAACAATCAATTTATAGAGCTTATTCAATAATTGAGAGATCATAGCTATATAAGAGACCTAGGCGAAGGTATTCATAGCGATATGAAAGGTCTATACTTTTTCTATAACACTCTTTTGAATTGATATTATCCTTCAATTAAAAAAAAATTGCTTGGTTGTCACCTAAAATAACATGAAGACATACAAATTTAGTCTCACAGATATAGACAAGTCTATCATGCAAGAAACTTCTATCCTTCAGAAGTAAAAAATATGTATGAGTCAACTTAAATCAATTGCAAAATTTTAATAAATATTTCAAAGTATTTCATATGCAAAAGTTAAATCATATAGAAAAGTACAATAAAATTAAATAGGTTTCACGATATTATGATCAATCTAGTTAGTTTGGTTGCATCTGAGATTAAAAACGGCTTTTCAATCTCTATTCCTAAGGTTATTAGTATCACTTCAATCCCCCGGTGAATTAGTTTGTAGCGGTGATAATAATATAGTGATCATAACAGAGCTCGCTTTTCAAGTGTTCTATCATGCAAGGAACTCATAAAGATGAAAGAATGAATTCCCGCGTAAACCACTTTAAACTATAAAAATAATAATTAACAACTCATAAAACTGACATTCACTCAACAAAATCAAAATGCTTGTACTTTAACTATCAACCCTATTATACATTGAATTTTTAGTAAATGACAATTTAATTATTTTTTGAGATACCCTGAATATTAAAGTAGCAACGTCGCTTAAGTAAGTTTCAATAATTTTATACTAGTTTTGATTACACATTACTCAATTTCTGTCGAGGATTTATCAGGAACAATCTCTCTATCTGTCTAGATAGGAATAACATCTGTATGCGTATGACCTCTCCAAAATCCAAAGCTCATTTATAAAACTATATTGAATATGTCATTATTGTTGTTATTATCAAAATTACCCAACTTTTCAAGTGCCATTTTTCATAAGCAAACATCGCATAGCTGGTGAAAGTTTTGATTATTAAAAAAGCATAAATTCTTTTTAAATATTATTTGGAAGAAAAAAATGAATTCTTAATAACAACAATAACAATAACGTAATTAGTGAAATTCCACAAAGTGAGATTTAAGGAGTATAGACGGTACACATAACTTATTAAGGAAAAAAAAGAGAAGAAGATGAATTCATAGAATGAAGTAAATATTATTACCCCAAGACCTTTGAAGCAATATTATTATATTATTGTATACATAATACCAAAACTTGAATATCATAGTTTTGTGGCCAAGGCCAGATGGATAGACAATTGATTATGGTGTTTGGTGTCTTAGAAAAAAAAATATATGAGGAGAAAAAGGGAGTTTAATGTCGGTGGAAAATCAGGAAAAAAGCAGGAAAAATAGTACACGTTATACTAAGTAGTAGTTGTCCTAGTAGTAACTGAGTAATATGTACACACACTGAAAAGGGATCTGTACAAACACATCTTTTATTTTTTTCCTTTTTCTCTCTTCACATCTCTCTCTCTATCCTCTTTACTATATATATATATATATATGCTCTACTTCACCTGACTCCATTTTCACTTTCTTGATCTCTCTCAAGAAATTAATCTGCTGCACTTTTTTGAATCAATCAATCTTCAAGAAAGGTGCTTTTGGTTTGTTAGTGTTTATTTTCTTGATATATGTGTGTTTATCTTTGAACCCTTTTGAAGATTGATGTGTTTTTGTATGTGGGGTTTTTGTTCTTGGTGGCGTTTGTGGTGTTTAGACTTGGGTTTTGTTTATTAGCTTGAAAAGATTTGATTTTTGACTTGGGGTTGACTTGTATGATGAATTTTTCAGGGTGGTTTGGAATTGGTGTGTGTTGATTCAGTTGGAAAAGAGGAGCTTTTTGGTTCTTGATTGGATTTGGGGAGAAAGTTTGTGGCTTTGGGATTCATTCGTTATGTGGATAGCAACTGTTTGGATTGACTCAATTTTTTTGAATCTATGCTAAAGGTACCTTTTTTTGTTTGGGTTTATACTTTTTTTTTTTCATGATTCCAATTTTTTGATTATTTGCTTGACTTGTGATGTAGCTGAAATGTGAAGTGTATGATTCTTGTTGTCTGGTTTTTTTTTTTACCTTTTTGATGTCTAGTGAAGTGTCTGTGTGTTTGGAATTTCTGTCCCCCATCTTTGAGCTGTGGATTGCTAATTGAATGGACTGTTGTGTGCTTTTGTTGTTTGTTTGAACTGTGGATAGCAGATTCAATAGACTTTTGTATGATGTTTTGGGGTGTACACCTGAAATTGTGTATGGCTAACAGTTGTGTTGCGAGTCTTTAACCTTATCTTTCTGTTTCTAGTTTAATGATAAAGGATATATTTTTAATAATCAGGATGCAATTGTAATGAAAAATACTTCTTATCACTCAAATGCAGATCTTCTAAGCTGAAGAACATGTGGTGGTTGTGATACAAACAAAAAAGTTGCAGTTATATCTCTAAAGTAGGCGGGGTAATAGGATGGGCTGTGAGTCTTCTAAACTTGCCTCGTGTTGCTGGAGTGGACAGAATGGTCCTGTTCATGAGGTTCAGAATCCTGGTATGTAAAGCTTTTCTTGGTATTTTCTATCATCATCCAAGGGCAGTTCATTCAGAATTGTAAATTTGTCGGTTCTTGTTCCTTCTTTTTTGTTATTGTGAAAATGTTTTTTTTTCGGTTTTCATTCTTCTAATAGATGATGAAGAAAGAGCTGAAGTTAGTGATTTGCCTACGTTCCGCGAGTTTACTGTTGAGCAGCTGAGAATATCTACTTCTGGATTTGCTGTAGAGAATATAGTTTCAGAACATGGTGAAAAAGCTCCTAATGTTGTTTATAAAGGAAAGTTAGAGAACCAGAGGAGAGTTGCTGTCAAACGCTTTAATAGATCTGCATGGCCTGATTCTCGACAGTTCTTAGTAAGTTATTCATAAAGAGCATTTATTTAATTCCATCAGGTATTTAGGTTTCTATATTCATGTTATCTAAAATGATATAATTTTTTTTTCCTTTCGGCTAACTTTTGGTGATATAATGTTTAATTGCAAAAGGAAAATAACAATGAATAGGAAAGGAAATAGAGAATGTCGGAGATCTTAAGCTGTCCTGTTATTTAAAAGCATCATTCCAGTTGTTTCTTATATGAGACAACTGATCCGTAAATGCAAAAGTGAAGTATGACGCTTTTACACGTCTTATTTTTGTCGTTAGTGCATGCACCTTTCGATGTTTTTTAATAGCTTGAAATTGAGTATCTTGTCGTTTTCCTGCTTTACATTGTTTAAGCAATATATTTTAACTTCCTTTTTGTTATCCTCCAAATCGTGAACTTCAGGAAGAAGCCAGATCAGTTGGTCAACTCCGCAACAATAAGTTAGCGAATCTTCTTGGTTGTTGTTGTGAAGGTGATGAGAGGCTGCTTGTGGCAGAATTTATGCCCAATGAGACACTTGCAAAGCATCTCTTTCACTGTAAGTTCATTTACATTTTAATTTTATTTTTCATCCTAGTCATGACTCTTGTACCGTTGCTTTACTTGTTTTAAAGAAGTTCATAGTAGGTTGTACTAATCATGGGAATATACAACACACCTAGTGTAATACAAGTGGGGTCCGGAGAGGGTAGTATGTACGCAGACTTTACCCCTACCTAGGTAGAATCATGGAAATATTATATATTTTTAAATATTTCGTTTTTCTTTTTGGGGACGGAGCGTCTATCAGAAAAAAGTAAAAAGCAAACAAAATAAATTGTATTCATAAATGAAGATGTACAATTCAAGGGCTCTAATATTAAGAATTGTACTTATCCTTTTCTTGTTCGACCACCATACTGGTGCCCCTAACAAGGCCAGTGACACCGCTGTTGCCACCCCTCCTTAGCAGAGCTATAGTAACTGGCTCCCCTTTTAATTGCTCTATGGTCTGAATATTAAAAATCTTTTAACTCCTTTTTGACTAGTGCTTTTATACTGTCAATAAATCACTAAAGTACTCTATCCCAAAGCGGTTGAGGTCAGCTATATAAATCATTATGTCGATTCAGCTCTATTTGGGCTCGTTATTCCAATGATAAATAATGATTTCTCTGATAAACTTAATAATCCTGGAGGTCTTCTGATTATTTTAAAAAAAAACTGAAAGTTCGATAAATTTCACACTTGTCCCATGGTATACATGTTTCTAACCGGAGTGAAGAGACTCTTGTTAGTCTCCTAACAAACGCTGGACTTAATGCAGGTGTAATAACTACAACTAAACTTTAATTCCAACTAGTTGAGTATGCCTTTATGGATGTTTTTCTTTCTGTGTGTTCTTTTCTTAGTTATTTATGTTTATTCCCTGAGTTTGTAGGCCTTTTTGACACAGCTCCATATGATTTTAGGACTTCTTCAACTGATAATAAAAATAATATTTTAGGAATTATTTGCCCTTTTTTAATAACTTCAATCACTGTAGTGCCACAACTTTGCACCGGTAAGGCTACGTAAGACATGACTATATTAAACTTCCTCTCATTCTATCTTCTGTATGTTTTTCATTTTGAGAAAATCATTCAATCTTCTATATATGTTACTTCCACTCTGTCTAATGTGATATTTCTTTCTTCTCCAACCTTGTATCGCACATTTGTATTAACATTTGCACTTTTATAACATTCATGCTATGGGTAAATTGAGCTTTAAAGGCATGATATTCATTCCCATACTAAGGTCCCCTACTAAAAGCTTAACATTTGTAGCCATATGACTTGACCTTTCTCTTTTACGTTATGTTTATTTTGTTAGGTATCTTCATATCACATAGCACGTCTATATACTCCTTCATTTCAGTCATCCTATTTTAATTTTGTGTGTTACGTCTTCACTACTAAGCCTAGTTATCTTAGTTGTCTATATTTAAGTGTCACACCCTCACCTAATTCACTTCACTCTTTCTGTTTATCGGGGTTCAACTTGCAGTGTGCATATTCTTCTTACTTATTCATAAAAAAACCTTTATTTCTAGGGTGACCTTTTTCACAGTTTCAATTTTTGATTGACTCCTTCACTAGCTTCATCAATTAACACAGTATTGTCAACACATACCACCATGAAACCTCATCTTGTATACTACTGGTGAACTTATCCACAAGTGAGGTAAACGAGTAAAAACTCATGCCAGATCCATGGCTTTGAACTTATCCACAAGTGAGGTAAACGAGTAAAAACTCATGCCAGATCCATGGTTTAAGTCCCTACTTATTGTTCTCTTTGATCTGTTTCTCAAATATCGTACTGCTGTTGCCCTGGTGTTACCTGCAAGCTATATGTAGCCCTAAGAAAATTGTTGTGAGGTTACTCTATGTTGGATGGCTCAACCATGGTTGATTTTCTATAGTAGTTCTAGTGTGTGATCAAGAGTCGGATCCACATTTTGAGAAGAGAGGATGCAGTAACTTGTGTAGAATTCAAGGGAAAAGGGACAAGGAGGATTATGGCCAACCTGAACTGTTTTGAAATTAAGGCAAAGTTGATTGATTATTATAGTATGTTGATCTACAATTTGCCTCTTTTACCCCCATCACTTGTTTAGACAATTTGAAGATTTAAGTAAACCTAATAATGAAATCCGAACTTCACCTAGAAAGTCGGTAAATGTAAAATGAGATTGGATAAGATGGGAACACTCATATCTTCTTACTGCTTTAATGAAGGTAAATGAAAATCACAACTTTCTTAAAGATCCAAGAGAACATATATTTCTTCGTGATCGGTGAAGTTTCAGTTGACTTATTGTATTTACATATCCAGGGGAGACACAACCCATGAAATGGGCAATGAGGTTAAGGGTGGCTTTGTATCTTGCACAGGCTCTCGAGTATTGTACAATCAGAGGGAGGGCACTTTATCATGATCTTAATGCTTATAGAATATTATTTGATGAAGTAAGTACCTAGTGCCTTGGTCATTTTTTTTTTATGGTCATTGATAAGTATCAAGTTTTACAGATTTAAGGATTCGAGTGCTTCTAATGATCTACCGACTGTCTATTTCTCAGGAAGGCGACCCCCGTCTCTCTTGCTTTGGTTTGATGAAAAATAGTCGAGATGGAAAAAGTTACAGCACAAACTTGGCATTTACTCCTCCTGAATATTTGAGGACAGGTACCTCTATAACATATACATCATATTTTTAATTTGTAATTGTTAAAGGTAGTATATTGTTATTGTTCCTATTTTTTGAATGCTATGCTATGCTTTCCCTATTGTTTTCTATGTTCTCTTTACTTTTGTATTTTTCTTTTAACTGGTCTGTTGTGTGTTGCTCGAGTCGAGGGTCTTTCGGAAACAACCTCTACCTCCATGCGATAGGGGTAAGGTTTGCATAGACTCTACCTTTCCCAGACCCCGCTTTGGAACTACACTGGGTTTGTTGTTGTTGTTAAATGTAGTATATATTGAAATCAGGAACAAGAGTGCTGTATATATATATAAGAGTTTACTGTCTTCGCAGAAACTTTTCTCCTTGTTGCATCTATCTATCAGTAGCAGTTGTGTTACCGCTTTACCAGATATATACGTTATTGAAATTTCTTAAACAGCTAAAAGTGTTTGGAAGCAAAATGTGAAGTTTTCAAAACTCAATGGAAACAAAAACACTAGGTGATTTTTTTTTTTCTCAGTTTCAAAAAAAAACAAAACTAGGTGATTCTTTCCATCTGTCCTAGCCTTGGTGGATAGAGTTACCTGTTACCTATTGTTGGGAGGTGGGAGGTGGTAGGTATCCCGTGGAATTAGTCGAGGTGCGCGAAAGTTGGCCCGGACACCGCGGTCATCCAACAAGCAAAATGTCAAGCAACTAAGCAGGACATAAAATGATGTTTGTCCACACACAACTACTTTTTTACTAATAGAATGGTGGTATCCAGGCCAACTTGCACGTACTGGACCAATTTAAAGATGAGTTTTTAAGCTATATACATCTTTGATGTATAGAGTTTTTTACATTATCACGACACCCAATAATATCTACCGATAAGCCTGCCTAATATATGGTATTTGTATTTGGCAAAAGGGTCTGATAGGCCCTTATACTTGGATCGGATTGTAAACTGGACCCTTTTACTTATAACTTTGTCAACTAGACACTTAAACTCAATGAAATACTATATTTTAAACTCTTCTGACCATTGATCAAACTTATGTGGCAATAAAATTGATGAGTTGGAAAAGTGCGTGATTTACATGCAAATTAAGAGCGTGAACGGCTAGAAATACACATATAATCAGAAATTTTCTTTTAAAAAAGGAAAAATTAAAATACTCCTTTCCTCTTCTAATTTTCTGTAAATAAAAATAATTAGGATAATTATGTCCGCGGCCAATAGATTTCTCATCGTATAAATTAATCATTGAAACTGAAGTTGAACAGAAATGGTTATATGAAATAAAAAAGAAATAAATCTTCAAATTTATTTCTGATTTATTTGTCTTCGAATCAGGAACGGATTACATGATTTTGAGCTTTTAATTTGAAAATTCAAATTGGACTTCTCTCTAAAATTGAAAACTCGAATCACAAGTCTATACGGGCTGAATCGAAGAACCTGATAACTCGATTTCAGATCGAAACGACTGAGTCGAAGAACTCAATATTGGACTCGGTTTCAGATCGAAACGATTGAGTCGAAGAACTCGATATTGGACTCGTATCTTGGGCTGTTATCTTGACAAGAACGTATTGATTGCAGTAGCTCAAGAAATCGTTCTGATACTAGTCCATTTACTCGATTTCAACTCTTCGCCGGAGATGAACATGATAAATATCATCAACATTGCTAAATGATGGGATATGGGTTTGGATTTGGTTGGGGGAGGCGCTGGAGGTGAGATCAGATGAGAAAGGGGATGGGGAAAGGGTTACAACGAGAGAGAAAGTAAAACATAGCATTTTTAAATATTATTATTATTTTTTTTATATTTAATTTCTGACGTGTCACTAAAAAATGACGTGGATTCCATGTGTATTTGGTTGTATTTACACGCACCCTGATCAAGTGAAAAAAGGGTTTAAAATATTGTGTTTTATTGAGTTTAAGTGTTCAGTTTACGACTTAGAAGGGTCCAGTTTACAATCCAACTCTAGTATAAGGGCCTATCAGACCATTTTGCCTTTGTATTTACCTACTACGATAGGTAAAGGTGATCTGATGGTATACAAATTTCTTATACTGTGGGTGTATATATCTTACATTCTTTAAAGATAAATGCTACTTTCCACCCACATACGTAGTGGTGAAATAGTCCACCAAGACTTGGCTAGAAGAGAACAGTACACCAGTGTCACCTCTGCTATAGTTTGATCTTTGTTCCAGGGATTAATTACTTTTGTGGTCTTTGGAAACATCACTTATCTCTGCTGCATGAAGTAGTTTATAAATTTAGCTCCAAAATACTAAAAACTACAAAGGCAAACCTTGACAAATAGCTTCTTTTGGTTGAACTTTTTAAATAGATAAAAGGAGAGTGATGCAGATGATAAGCTAATCTAATAGCCTTCCAACAAATATTTTTCATGGTTATTGGCCAAACTTGGAGCAATTGAAGTGAAGCATGCTAAAAAAATTTGAAAGACATAAAAAACCAAACATGTAGAAAGGCTAAATAAAGTATTAGGTGATTTCTTCCCAACGGATAGTATTAGGCCAAGCCATGAGGTGAGGTCTAAGGTTCATTTCCCATTGGTGACAAAAGACATTAGGTGATTTCCTTCCATTTGTCCAAGCCCCTGGACCCCGCGTGAATGCGGGATGCTTAGTGCATCGGGCTGCCCTCTACCATTTATCGATCAAAGAGCTTATATGGCAATATTTTTTTTTTTTGAGAAAGGTAACTTGTATTATAAACAAAAGAATACATAAGGAGTAGTCTAGTAATACTTACATCCAAAGTTGCAAAAAGCAAAGAACTCCTATGGAGGTCATAAGAACTCTAAAATACTAGGAATATCCTCTGCATCTTGAGGATATTCATGTTTACACCAAAAAAAGAAAAGAACCAGGCAATTCAGCTTCAAATTCTGCATAGAGCAGCTCTTGTTTTTAAAACATCTCGGGTTCCTCTCCATCCATATAGACCACCAAATGCAGGCAAGGACAATCTTCCATCTCTCCCTGTGTCCTGACTCATTCCCATCTCTGTTCCAGCAAGCTAGAGCTTCTTTGATGTTCCTTGGCATAGTCCAACTGATGTCCCTTAAGTTGATGAAAATCTACCACAACTTCGCAGTCTCTCTACAATGTAGAAAGAGATGATTTATTGTCTCGACCTCACATTCACAAAACCAACACCTGGAACAGATTTGCATGCCTCTTTTCATAGGGTTGTGTTGAGTGAGTGCAGCCTGATTGGCTAACAGCCAAGTGAAACATGCTATCTTGAATGGTATCTTGACTTTCCAAATCATCTTCCAAGGCCATCCACCTATATGAGTACCAGGTCTTTGTGAGCTTCTATAAGCTGGGCCAACTGAAAATCTGCCTTGCTCATCTGGATTCCAAAATAGACTGTCCTCATTTGTGTTTAGATCTTTGCACTGCCCTAGAATGTTGAGTAGCTCAACTATTTTATTGACCTCCCAATCATTTAGATGTCTTCTAAACCTTAGATCCCACCCTTGATTATCTCTCATTTCTCTGATTGTAGCCTCTTTTTGAAGGCTCATGTTGAACAAAATAGGGAACCTATTTCTCAAAGTCACCTGATCCACCCATTTGTCTTCCCAGAACAAAGTCCTTCCACCATTCCCTACCTTGATTTTGCATTTGTTAAAGAATTTGATCCATAAATTTATGATGGATCTCCATACTTCAGATCCATAGGGTTGTGTGGCTAGATTGGTGATCCACAAATTCTCCATACCAAACCTAGCCTTTATTGTTCCTTCCAGAGAGCTTGTTCTTGTGAGGCAAATCTCCATAACCACTTCATAAGTAAGCTTTGATTCTGGATTTTCAAATTCCTAATCCCCAAACCTCCTTCCTTTATGCTGAGAATGACTTGGTCCCACTTCACTAACTGGAATTTATGATTATTAGGATCACAATTTCCTTGCCACAAAATATTCCTCCTAATTGCCTCCATTCTGTCAATCACATTTGCAGGCATATGGAAAACAAACATCATAAATGTGGGTAGAGCATCTAGCACACTGTTGATGAGTGTGACTCTTCCTCCCAAGGACAAATATTGACTCTTCCAGTTCACCAGCTTCTTCTCACACTTGTCTAGAATGTTGTTTCAAATACCTTTTGACCTGCTCTTGTCACCCAAAGGCATGCCAAGGTATGTTGTGGGGAGATCCCCTACCTTCCCCCCTAGAATATTTGCAAGCATGTTTATCCTAGGCACCTCATTGACAGGAAAGATGAAGCTCTTTCCCCAATTGATGTGTAGGCCTAAGATGGCTTCAAAAAGGATCAAAATTACTCTCAAGTACTTTAGTTGAGAGCTGTCTGCATCAGAAAATATCAATGTGTCATCAACATACTGTAAGTGGTTGATGACCAGACCTTGTCTGTTATTCATATTAGCATTGAATCCTCTTATCAAAACTTTATTCATATAGGGCAATATTTCTTAATAAATCATAATTAAAGAATTTTTCAAAAACTTTACAAGTATACCAAATTACCAATCCCCAAGGTTGTGGTTCAAAAGGCAAAAGTAGTATAACGCCATATTTATGTTAGGTGCAAGTCACAAATTCAAATTTGATGTACAAAGCTTGATGTTTTGGTCACAAGGATATAGAGGGTTGATCTGTCATCCCCCGAGTTTCGGAACTGGTCATAAAAATAAATCAATTCTTGAGGAAGAGGAGGATCATGCATAATAATAGGTGCTACATGTGTAAGCATTCACGGGAAGATGTAAATCGACCTGCCGACCCTTTTTCAAGTGGTGAGCCAGTTATGGTTGATCAAGTAGAATCTCTTTTAAATCCATCTGAAAGTCTTAAAGTGGCTATCAATCCATTCTTAGATTTATGTGGTTTCTCATTTCAGACTCTTGATGTCTAACAAGCATGGTTATATACTTGAACCTACTCCATTTATATTGAACATATAAAAGGTGACAGTCATAAACGACAATCTAAAAGTATGATGTGTCGAAGGACTTCTTTCTAAAGAACAGAGTTCACTTGTATACAAGGTTTTACTGTACATGGAACTGCTTTGTGAAATAATACAAAGTTACTAGGTTAAAAAAAAATACTCTGGTTGATGACCTTTTTTTTTAACTTGGTAACTTTGTATTGTATCACAAAACAATACATGGGTTGTATTGAAACCTTATATTCAAGTCTACTCCTCACTTCACTTCTCTATGGTTAAATTGAGTCTAGAACATCAATAATAGAGATAGTTTCTAGTTTCATTTGAGTATAACTAATTACACCAAAAAACTAAAAGAAGAATGCAGTTAAGTTTAACTTGTTGCACATTGTTCACTATGCTCTCAAAACATCTTGAATTCCTCTCTTTCCAGATAGCCCACCATATAGCACTAGGGATAATTCTCCATCTACCTCTGTCCTATGCATGGACCCCTACTTCCTCCCAACTCATTAAGGCCTCAGTCACTTTCCTAGACATGGTCCAGGAAATGCCTTTTAAGGCTGAGAAATAGTCTCCATAGTTGTTGGGTGTACTTGCAATGTAAAAATAGATGGTTGACAGTCTCAGCTGTTTAACCACATAGGAAACACCTGGAACACAAGGTTATCCCTCTCTTTTTTTTGGGAAGGTTAGCTGGTACAAGGTTACCCCTCTCTTCATGACATTGTCCTGTGTAAGGATTGCTTCCTTAGCCATTAACCATACAAAGCATGAAACTTTGTGACGTATCCTGCTCTTCATGACTGTCTTTGCTTGATGACCTTGGTTTTTGTTATTTTACACTTCCCCTCCCTTAAGAAGAAGAGAGGGGTTTAGGGAGGAGCCGGGTGATTTTGCTGCCTCTTGCCTGTTCCCAGTAGATTGTTTGATTATATTTCTTTGTTGACTTAGAAAGTTGATGGGGTTCCTTCTTTACAAGCAACTTTTACCTTTGTGGCATTGGTTTGTTCATTTAGCTAGTTGCTGTAATCTATTAGGAATAATTGCTTCATTAATCTCTATGACGTTAATAATATTTCTGGCTATGCGTTGTTAAACTTATTATGGTTCACTCTGTTATTCTGAAATTTTTGTAGGAAGAATCACCCCGGAGAGCGTCATGTATAGCTTCGGGACACTCTTGCTTGACCTTCTCAGTGGAAAACATATTCCTCCAAGCCATGTATACTCTTTTCTCCTAATTGAAGATGATATTCCTTTACTTTCTTTTGGGACAAGAAAACATGACGTTTTTAGTGCTTCTTTCGTCCTAGTTTATGTCCGATCCATCTTTTATATGAATGAGAAAATCTTTTTGATCCAAGGCAGTTATGAGTTTGAAGATACTGTTGATTAGGAGAGGTAGTAATTTTCAATTTGTTTGAGCCCTGGAGATACTGATACTCTTTCTTCACCTACCCCAGAAAAAGAAAGGCTTTGATGCTTGCTGTGAGCTCCAGTTAACTCTATCTGGCTGCATTTTATCCCATGGAGAGCTGGGCTAAAATTACTGGTTTAATGTTGCCTCATACTGGTTTGCACCTCAATTTTATACAGGCAAAACAGCAGTAGGATGCAAGAACGGGAAGGGAAATATTGTTAATATATGGGCTCTCTGAGTGTCTGACACACAACTTATAATAAAGTTCCCTAAATAGAGAAATCCTGGCTGTTTCGTTCTCTGGAGCTGTTTGTACAACAAAACTCAGTTCTAATTTCTAGACTCTCGTAATTCATGGCTGTCTTCGTTGACTAGGTTCCTAGAAGAAACCATTACCAACACCCCATAAACATCTGATTCCTTTTCGTCTTTTCCTATTCCCGCCTCTCCTATTCTTTGGTAAACTATCTTGTTCAATCTCGGTAGTGATACTTAGACTGCTCGTTGGAAATTATCCGAACAGTCTGAATCATGTTGATTCGATAATTCGTATCATATAATTTTATAGTTCTTACCTGTAAAAATGAAAATGAGAACTTCAAGCTTGGCAAAATAGCGTTGATCAGGCATCAAATTCAATTTGGTTGTGTGTGTGTTTGGGGGGGGGGTTGGTTTCACCGATTGTTGAAGTCAAGCGGTGCTACAGCGACTAAATGGTTGTAAAGTAGGATCAATTATATCAAAACTGTTTGTGATAAAGGATATGTGGTTGTTGTTGGCCAGTTACTCGTGAACTGTTTTTTTGCTGTGCTTGTCCCTTCTAATACTGTATCTGTTTTTGTCAGGCCCTTGATCTGATTAAAGACCGGAATCTTCAGATGCTTACGGATTCTTGCTTGGAAGGTCAATTTTCTTCTGATGATGGGACTGAATTGGTAAGGATAGCGTCAAGATGTCTGCAATACGAGCCACGTGAGCGGCCAAATCCAAAGTCGCTGGTTGCTGCTTTATTTCCTCTTCAGAAAGAGATCGAGGTTTTGTTTTTTCTTGTTCTGGTGTTACTATCTATTACTTATCTTTAGTTTCTGCTGAGTTTGATATTTGTTTTTCTACCTGCGTGCTCTTCTTTCTCTTTTTTGATCAAGTAATACTTTCATTAGTTGGTGTATAAGGATGCAAAATGTACGGAAGGAAAGGACTCCTAAGTAAAATTGGATTTGACAATATCCGAAAAATGATTTGCATCAACAAGCTTACGGCACCTAAATAGGTTCATAAATATGATGTGTGGATTCGGTACACGTCTGAGGTTTGAGCACTACCACAGACCAAAGCTGGTGTAAGTTGAGAGGGGTAGAGGCCTCGCCCCATTATTCGCGAAGTTTCAAACTTTGGGCCTGTAGCCCTCGGGGGTTTCTCAGTATCCAAAGAAAGAAAGAAGGTTCATAAGACAGCTTGCTTTGAAAAAAGGTTCATTAGGCAACTTGCTTTCCAAAAAGGGGGACTGAGGTTTCCACTCCTTCAAAAATGTCTTCTGTTCCTTCCTCTCCATATTGTCTAAAATATCCCTCTGGGGATGGATTGCCATAGCTCTTTTGTCCCTGCTTGTGTGCTTTTCCGGTTTTAGCTTTCAGCTTTTGTTTCTGCAGCTATTTTCTTTTTATAAGGTTTGCCCTGCGAGCTGCTTTTTTTGGCGAGAGCTCTATAATAGTGAAAGTAAATATGATAAAGCAGTTTGGTAAACATTATATTGTGGATGATCGTTAGTCAGAAGCTGAGGCGTTGTGGCTGAATTCCTTTAGGTGTGTGACAACTAATAAAGCACACACTGATTATGATATGTCCTTTTGTTATTTATAATGGGATCACTCATAAATTTCCCTGACAAAAATTTGCAGTGATTTCCAGTTAGTTTGAACAGGAAATTTAGCAAAGGTTAACACATGAAGTGCCTTACATTCATTGGGTGTGGAAGTTGTTAATGCCGTCAGTGGTGTACTATTTCCAAGTTTTTGTTGCGAAAAATATGATTTGTAACTATACCATTATTAAATATTTAGTGCCTAAGCTCCCACGGATTCAGTCTCTTAGTAAGAACACAATGTGTGTTTGAACGTTGCTGTGAACAGGGCCTGACATTTGAGTGGAGAAGGGTAGAGGGGATCCAATATCCAGCTAGTTTAAAACCGTATCCCAGCTGGCCGTTGGGGATTTCTTGATTATCAAAAACAATATTGAAAGCCTAATTAATGCTTTTATGTATCTATTCACTTTTCTTCTGGTGTTATCGTGTCACTTGAAGCTGTAAAAAGCTATCTGTACAATATACACGAGGATTGTTTGATGCCCATTGTACACTCGTGATGCAACATTGGTGAATGCATTTAATTCTCTGTTAGTTTGGTCCTAGTCTGTATTAGTTAAGTTAGTAAAAAACAGTAATTTGGATGAGGTAAGAAACATTTTAGGTTATATTATTGTCCCTAAATATTTATTTTCTATACTGACTGTAAATTGTCAGAGATCACATTAATGATAGAATTAGCCATAATGACGTTTTGGTTACTTGTTTTGCAGGTTCCTTCTCATGCTTTGATGGGTATCTCACGTGATGGTGGAACTATGCCTCTGTCTCCACTTGGTGAAGCCTGCTTGAGAATGGATCTAACAGCCATCCATGAGATTTTAGAAAAGCTTGGGTACAAAGACGATGAAGGAGCAGCTACTGAGGTTTGTCTATCAGTAATTATTTTGAGGAATCGATGTCCTCATCTTGTACACACATTCCCTTTCAGTGTTTTATCTTGAACACATTGAGTCACATTTTTAGCCTCATGCCATATGAGGATCTTTTATCCTCTTATCCCTGCAGTTGTTTTACATGTGTGCATGAGAAGGGGCCTCACATTTTTTTCCACCTGCCTCTTATCCCTTTTCTATGATTTGGTTCGTAGTGATTTCTCTCGTATTAAGGAATCCTAACAACTAGAGAGCTTCTCGATGCTGTTTTAAGTTTGGTTGTTCTACACATTTTAACTGCTACAAAATTAGATCAATGTTGTGCCTTCATCTTGAGGGGCCGTCCTGATGAGTGAATTTTTCAAAGCAAATTGATTTGAATTTTGTCTAAACAAGTGTCCTCTAGGACAAATAACCTGTGCAAAGGAAGTTCTCAGAAATAGGGTTCACAAATGATGCGGTGCGGTTGCGGAGCAAACCCGCTAATATTTCAGTCCACCCTGCATAGCACAATTTGTTGTTTTCTACCCGCCCCACATAATTTGTTGTGTATATATACCAGTAGTCTTGAAACTTCATTTATATAAGTAACTTTTTATTATTGTGTCCTAATTTCTGAACTCATATATTTACTCCACTTTTTTTTCTTCTAAAGAAAAAAAAAAAGAAAAGGAAAATTTAAATGTTAACCTGGAAAACAATAAGAATGAGACGTGAACTCCCTGTTGCCATCCCTACAGTCAGAAACAGTGGAGAAAAATATGATGTACTTATGACTTACTTCTTTTACTTATTACCTTAACTTCCCAATGCCTATTCAATAATTGTGCTCACTTCTCCAACATGTGAGACACTTTGGAGAGGAAGTTACTCAGGTGTTAAACAATTTTCTTTTGGTAACTTATTGTTTGTTCATATGGGTAGTCAAATCCAAGTAATTGTACATTTTTGGAGCCAATTATCAAAGTCTCATGATAGCCACACTTTTTTAATGTTGCCTGCAGCTTTCATTCCAGATGTGGACAAATCAGATGCAGGAAACGTTGAACTCCAAGAAAAAGGGTGATGCTGCTTTCAGGCACAAAGATGCTAAGGCCGCCATTGAATGCTATACACTGGTAGGAAATTCACGGTCCTCCTTGATAGGTTCAGTTGCCATGGGTTATAAAACTTAAGTTTTAATCATCTCACTTGGGTTTGAATATGAGTAGCAAGATCGTTCTTGCAAACTTGAGGTTCTGAGTTGGTACTTTTCAGATGTGTGTTCTTATACGAGATAAATGTTTGTAGTCTAAAACTTTATACATTCAATAAAGTAACAAAATGGTCTAAAGAGATGATAATATGTTCTCAAGATTATTAATGAGTGCTTAGAAGAGTAGATCTAATCTATTTAAAATGCATCACTCATTTAATACTTAGGTTGGTTTTGCAGTTTATCGATGTTGGAACCATGGTCTCCCCAACTGTGTATGCACGGCGTAGTCTATCTTATCTCATGAATGATATGCCACAGGAAGCCCTCAATGATGCAGTACAGGCACAAGTAATATCTCCTGTATGGCATGTTGCTTCGTATTTACAAGCTGCTTCTCTTTTTGCACTTGGAAGGGAAAATGAGGCACAAATTGCACTTAAGGAAGGTTCTGTTCTTGAAGAAAAGAAGAACACAAATTCCTGAAAGTGGCGAGTTGATCCACTGATCATTATTTAATTGCTCCGTTGCTAATGGGGTTTGGACGTGGATCACAAAAGTTCACTGGGGAGAGGCTATTCAATCTATTGCCTCGTGCATGCGATCATTAAGTAGGTTTGGTTTACTTCAGAGCATTCTTTTGCTACATATAATTGGATGGGGTTGGTTTTAGTCACAGCTTTTGTGGACAGGTTATCCTAAGCGCTCCGGTTGAAATGGATTGACATTTTCCAATAAACAAACTATTCTCTGGGAATAATCAAATGCCGTTGGTTCCTTAAGGATCCAACATCTGTGGGAAAAAAAGGAAAGCTGGAGACACTTCCTGTGCTGTAATTTATGTACAGTGCTATTTAGCTGCTCAAATTGTTTCGTTTCTCGCTCTCTCTCTCTCCGTCTTGTTAACTTCTTCTTGAAATCATCCGTCCGTGTCTTTCTCTCTTGGAGTTTGAGGTCAATATCCTTTCTTTGTGGTGGTAATTTTACTTTTGCAGTGCTTATGTTAAGTAAGTAAAACTTGTAACTGGTCTAATTTTCTGAATGTTGTTTGTAAGGTTTGAATCTTTATGTCAACAATTAATCAGTTTGAATGCTTTTGTGGATAATTATTTGTACAGATGGTAGCTCATTCATATATTGTTGAAATTTAAGTTCTTTGTCTTTTTAATTTTGTTATATTGCCTCATATAGGTTGAGGGGATGAAGTGTTCTCCCCTTGTATATGGTGTTTGGGTAATTCTCACTGCAAAGGTTGAACTTTGTGGTTGAGTTAGGCCTGAGATTTATTTATTTTTAAAAAAAAATCGTGCAAGGTTGATTTTCTTACCTTAGTATTAGAGTTGGGGTGTGTTTGGTACTGAGGAAAATAGGTTTTAAATTTTTATTGCTTTGTTGGTCAAAATATTTTGAAAACATTTTCTCTAGAAAAAACAAGTTTCTTAAAGAAATAAAGAAAATGACTTTCTTAATGGAAGTAGCGGAAATAAGTTTTTGTGTATTGCATACTTTTCGAGAATTAAGGGTATAAACTATTTCTTGTTCGTCTTGATTGGTTGGTCGTTGCAAACATTAATCAAAGCTTTAATATCTTAATTTTATTCGAAAAAATTGTTTAGGATTTGGTAAAAGTTGTTTGCGTAAGCTCGAGACGTTAATCCTTGTCTAATAAATTTTCTTACGAATAAGTTGAATTTGCATGATATAATCCATCTAAATATCTCATATGAATTTGGTAAAATCATATTGATATATAGGGGAATTTTTGCAAATAGTTATTATAATAAATTTAATTATGCTCTATAGCTATAGGTTGCATATTTATGCGCAATAGCTACCGTTTGAGTTGTCTTGTTTGTATAATTCGCAGGTACCTTTGTATGAGTGAATTATTTTTGTATAAACTCGAAATAACGAATTTATACAAACACAAACATCTGAACTTTAAATAGTTATACAAATTATATTATACAAAATTACATTATACAAAATTATACAAATTATATTATACAAAAGTTATACAAATTTCAAATTATACAAACTCAAAACCCCAACCCACGTGATTAACACTGAATGTTAGTCGTGAGTGAGAATTAACTAAAACTATAGCTATGATGACTAATTAACTAGTATATGTTTGTTTGACCATATAATTTTTCCTATATAATATATTTAATATGAGGTCCATTTCTCAACTCTCAAGTAGTTCTATTGGACCAATATTCTATTCTTTTTTGGAGTTTCATAATGAATAATAGAAAACTTTATTTCTTTTCTAAATTTAGTCAATAACATTGGCATTATTATATATTTGTGGTGATTTTTTTTTTTCATTTCTAAATGTGACAAACTGAATTTCTATTGTTGCTCTTCTGCGCACCACAATTTTTTGCATAAACATTATCTATTAACAAAAAGATTTATATTATATTTTATACAGAAATAAAAGCACTTTTTAAACTCTTTAACAAAATCCCAATAGAGTACTTTTGAATTCTAAATTCTCATTTCTTTTTCAAAAAAATTGATTTTAGGAAAAATGATAGTAATAATATACATTAAACATCCATGAAATTTTAAAACATCATGAATGTTTTTTACAAAATAAGTCTTTGATCTTTCTCCAATGAAATACCAAGACTTTAAAAAATTATTTTCCTTAATTTTGATTTTTTTTAAAGAAAATTTATACAACAAATGACTCCCTTCTTTTCTTTAAATTTGCTGTTGTTTCTGGACTTCCTTTTCTCATCATAGCTGCAAATTCATCATAATTAATTCGACCATCCTGCACAATAAGAATTAAATAATTAGAGTTTAAGTTTTACGCATTAATATATAAAAATATGTGTATAATTAATTAATTTATACGGTTATTATACGTATATAATAATTATGATAAATATTAATTGATAAACTGATAAAAATGGGAGTGTTTCAAATTTTACATTATTTGAGTCAACTTCAGCAACAATATCTTTTATGTCCTTTCCATCATCCATACCAAATTCTCTTAAAGCTTGCTCTAACTCTTCTACTGTAATGTACCTGAAAAAATTGGAAAAAAAATAATTTTAAAAATTAAAATCTAGCAGAAAGTAAAAAAAAACAATTTAAGAAATGGCTATTAAATAATTAAGACTTTTTATTTTTGGATCATATTTGAATATATAAGATTTGCTTTTTAAAAAAAAAATAAAAAATATTAATTTATTAAAATACTAAATTAATCTAGTATTATATCTATTAAAAAGTTATATGGTGGTTGGTGCTGGTGCTGACTAGCATTGGTGTTGTGGTTATCACTTAGGGACAATGTATTGTTAGCTAATGATGGTGTTGTGGATAGTAGTTAGTGATGATAGTGTCTAGCAGTAGTGCTTGGTGGCGGTATAGTTGGTAGGGGCGGACCCACATGGAGTATGTCGGGTGTTCAAACACCCATTATCCTCGTCTCGAAATATGTATATCTATGTAGAAATTAAGAGGTATTTGTATAAAAATAGCATAGAGTACCCAATGAACAAATGATCGGACTAGTCCATTGGTTCTTGGGTGGGTGCTTAAGGCTCTTTTAGCATTGTTGAGCCTGAGTTCGAATCTCACTGTTAACAGTGACATATTGGTTTTGACGGTTAATAGTTGTGGTGGATGATAATGATAGTGATAGCTAATGGTGATGATGAATGATGATAGTGGTTTGAAGATATTTTTTATAAACATCAATGATATTAAGACATTATTATAAATTTTAATCATTCAGATATATTTAGTCCGATTCAATTACTATAAAACAAACACATAAAACTTACCCACTATTATCCTTGTCAAAATATTGAAATGCTGTGTAAAGATGTTCTTCTTTGTCCATTCTGTTCATGTGCATTGTTGCTGTAATAAATTCTTCATAATCTATGGTTCCATTTCCATCAGCATCAGCCTAATTTATTAAATTTTCAATGTATACAAAATAAAAAAAAAACAATATATTAGAATAAAGAAGCAACTTGCAACTTTTTTTCCATGATATTAATTGAAAGATTTTAGATGGTAAATTAATATTTATTCTAACATCTGCTTCCTTCGTTTATTTTTATTTGTCCACTATATTAAAAATATATTTTCATTTTTATGTGTCACTTTTAACATATCGAGAGAAAAAATATTTTTTTTCATGGTTTACTCTCTACATTAATTACTTATATATATAAATTATTTCGAGTAAAGTAGTCGTGATACAATTTTATATTCCAAACCATTTTTTTGGGTGTCGTTTGCTGTACATTATAAAGCTCGACTACTTGAATCGATCTCAGATGAATTTTTAAAAAATGACGATAAAATTTTAAAATTTGTCCCGTCTTTCAATAACAATAATTATCTTTTTTTTAAAATTAATAGAACAATATCCATTTTAATTAAATATCAATCGATTCAACATCACCTATTGATAAATTCCAAATTTTTAGGTCTTTTTAAAAATTCTAAACTAATTCAATTGTAAACTTGGTAAGTGCAATGACTAGCTAACACTTATATTATATAAATAACTTAGGAAAAAAAGGTTATGAATATTAAAATATAATTTTGTGTTTGACATAAAGAAATTAATTAGAGAACTTACAGCTTTCATTAATTGTTGAATTTCATAATCAGATAATTTAGTTCCTTGTTTGGCAAGTCCTTGTTTTAGCTCCTCAAGTGTTATTGCTCCACTATTATCAGCATCCATACTTTTAAACATTTGCTTTAATCCCATTATTTCTTCCTCTGATAAACATCCTGCAATCACCTATAATATATATTCTCTCCAAGTAAATATTTTGGCTTCACATAAAAAAAAATGAAGGTGAAATTATATATATATATATACTAAAAGAAGAGTTTATGCACAACATTTTATGTAATTTTTCATGATCTTGAAAATATCCAAGGAAAAATTTTCTTGAAATTTTACTTTGACGTAACATTTATATATCAACTTTACATGAAATATGCTTGTAGTTAATAAAAGAAAAGAAAGAGGGATTCATTACTTGGAGAACAACTTTCTTGAAATATTGCTTTGATGTAACATCTATACATCAACTTGAAATGATTAATATGCTTCTTTTTAAAGGGGAAAGAAGGGATTCATTACTCCGAGAGCAATTTTCTTGAGATCTTACTTGACGTAATATTTATACATCAACTGTAAATGAAATATGTTTTTATATATTTAAAAGGGAAAACATGGATTCATTAGCCAGATAGCAACTTTCTTGAAATTTTACTTTGACGTAACATGTATAGATCAACTTTAAATGATTAATATGCTTCGATTTAAAAGAGAAAAAAATGGATTCATTACTCGGAGAGCAACTTTCTTAAAATTTTACTTTTGACGTAACATTTATACATCAATTTTAAATGAATACGGTTCTTTTGGCTTCATTAGTCGGAGAGCAACTTTCTTGAAATTTTACTTTGGCGTAACATGTATAGATCAACTTTAAATGAAATATGCTTCTATTTTAAAGGGGGGAAAAGGACTATTACTTGGGGAGCAACTTTCTTAAAATTTTACTTTAATGTAATATCTATACATCAACTTTAAATGAAATTCTATTTAAAAGGAGAAAAAAAGGGTTTCATTATCTTCAAATTTTACTTTGACGTAACAGGTATTGATCAACTTTAAATGATTAATATGCTTCGATTTAAAAGAGAAAAAAAGAGATTTGTTACCCGGAGAGCAACTTTCTTGAAATTGTTCATAGCTCTAAATTGTTTGAGTCTACTCAAAACAGCATTGTCAAGTGGTGTATCTGGTGCATCTCCATCCTCCTTGATCCATGGATGATCTGTATTCATATACATATTTATTCATAAATCAAGTAAATGCTCCAATTTATGATTTTTTTCATCTATATGTATTTATTTATTTTCCAGTATATATCATGTTCAAATTATACGTCCATTCTATGTAACACCCTTTCCTTTTTAGTCCGTTTCAAAACGAGTGTCATCTTACTATAATTAGAAACAATTTAATTTTAAAATTCCTCTATTACCCTTAATGAAACGATTTACAGTCACACAAATATCTAAGAATTGTTATAGACCACAAGTTTCAAAAGTCTTGCTTTTTT